ATGAAAACTAGCTAATTTAATTTATAATATTAATAAATGTATATATTTGAGGATATATATTTATTTTTTTCTTGTTTTTTAAATCCATTTTAACCACATATTAAACCCTTTATTTGCCAGCCTATCTGTGTCGTTGGCCTTATGACGAGGAGTGCCTGTGGGTTATCCTAATCGTTCTGTCTTGGTCACTCTTGGTTGGGCCTGGTTGACTTTCCAGTCAGCTCCTACAATGTCACTTGGCCACCTCTAGATCTGTGTTTGCCGGTCTAGACGTAATCGATGCACTCCTTAAAGTGCCACATTGCAGCGATCCCAGAGCGTTAACGAGATCTGATTCCTAAGTTGAGAGCTGTTCTTCCTGTAACGCTTCCGAATAAAGAGGTCCCGGTCGAAAAGAGTTGAAAGATACGAAATTAGGTGGTCGTTGGAATCCTGATCGCAGTAAAGTGGTCCTTGGTAACATCAAGCATAGAGAATGTCTGGATCCATCAATAGTCTCCTAATAGGGAGGGCAGTGCGATTAATGGCTTCCATCGACTGGGTAGTGTTCGTCAAGTGGGTGGCGAAGAGCCAGTCGGGCATATATCATGGCGGTATCTCCGGTCGCTTAATGCAGTTTGCTGCTTGGCTAGCCTAGGGAAATGTTAATAAAGGTAAAGTAAACTATATTTTTAATGACATATGGGGCACAAAATAATTGGTGTTATGTAAATGTAATTCTGTATGCATATAAGACTCGTAATGTAAATGGAGACTGAAATAGTACAAAAATATATGGGTAGTATTTCACACTCAGTCCAGTATATATACAAATGTACTTTTTTATTTCTCTCTCTCTCTCTCTCTCTCTCTTTCTTATTTAATCTATATAATCTGTGTAGACTAATATTTTCCTTAATGTTAAGACACTGTATTAGCATTTTGCTTAAAGCAATATGCTTTTTTTCATTTATTTCGTGCCCTGATATAGATAATTTAGTTTTGATAGAATACAAGTGTGGCAATTGCCATGTTTGTAATTTATCTAACATCTTCTCTTTCAGTAGTCATAAGTTTCTTTTGTTTGTTTTTTAACTAGTTTTATATAGATAAGCATTAATTCCACTTCTTTGCATAACATAACTGGTCTTGTGTTAGGATCTCAAAGACTTCATGAGACAAGCTGGGGAAGTAACCTTTGCAGATGCACACAGACCTAAGTTAAATGAAGGGTAAGCCTCTACAATCACCTCCTGAAAGCTATGGAGTAGTATTTGTATGTATAATATTTGGGGAGGGAGGCTGGCTACTTCCGTTGCTCAGCAGCTGTTCATGGTTTAATTTAGCTACCCTTTGCAAATGTGTTCTCTGGTATTTGCGGAGGGGAATTATTCAATTCATGCTTGAGTTATGACAAGGGATGATGACACTGAGCAGTGTGAGGTTTTTTGAGTTGTTTTTCTCCCCACAGCCCCCCCCCCCCCCAACTATGTTTTGCTCTATTGTCAAAAATTACAACTTGTAATCATAGAATCATTAGGTTGGAAAAGACCTTTAAGATCATCCAGTCCAACCATTAACCTAACATTACCAAGTCCACCACTAAACCAATTAATAGTGAGCTCTGTGTTTTGTTTTATTTTTTTTCTGTAGGGTGGTTGAATTCGCCTCTTACAGTGATTTAAAGAATGCTATTGAAAAGCTTTCTGGTAAAGAAATTAATGGAAGGAAAATCAAACTAATTGAAGGCAGCAAAAGGCACAGGTATGGAGTTCTATTCTCTTAAATACTCATTGAGAAAGCTTTGAAGTCAGTGATCAGGCAGCCGAACTGGAGACCAGTGAATTGCCTGGTTATTGTGGTCCGTGACGTTTCATTGCTAACACCGATGCTCTTTGTTTCCTCAGTAGGTCCAGGAGCAGGTCACGGTCTCGTAGCAGAAGCTCATCCAGGTCTCGTAGCCGTTCCCGTTCCCGCAGCCGCAAGTCTTACAGCAGGTCAAGGAGTAGGAGCCGTAGCAAGTCTCGATCAGTTAGTAGATCTCCAGTGCCAGAGAAGAGCCAGAAACGTGGTTCTTCCAGTAGATCTAAATCCCCATCATCGGTGGATCGACAGAGGTCTAGATCGAGGTCGAGATCTGTTGACAGTGGCAACTGAACTATAAGTAACTTGCCCTGGGGGCCCTTTTTTAAACCATACTTGCTAAAACTTGTGGTAAGTATGTGACTTTCTGTGGGGAAGGGTTTGGATGGGGAGGGGGGAGGGATGGGGGAACTTTGTAGATGTGGACCATGGTGGGAAGGGTTATTGAGTAATTGTATTAAATGTTTTTTGATAACCCTTTTCTTGCTCACAATTTTTGTGAATGTCTGAAGTGTATAGTTTGTGTATATTGGCAGAGCTCTTTATAACTAAAGCAGACAAATTTTTTTGTACTTGGAAAAAAAAAGTCATCTGAACACTTAATTCCCAGAATATTCAACTGTGAATAGCAACTCAGAACATTAGTTTAATATCTCAAATTAAACTAATAGCTTTAGGCATCTAAGAGCTCTACATGTGCTGTACATAAAGCTTTCTTTCAGAGGGTATTTTTTTTGTGCTTTTGAACCATTGTTTCAGTTATAGGTCAGCAGATTAAGTGCTGGTCAGTACTGGTAATAAAACTTTATTTTAAAAGCTTTTCATTTAACATGACTTGCACTACACTAAGAAAGTGCCCATTTCACTGCCCTGTGGTAACAGTATTCTATAAAGCACCCTAATTCTCGATTCTTAAGAATTAAATAGCTCAAATAAAGTATGAAGAAACATGTCTCTGCTTCTAGTGTGTTCTTACTGTTAATAAAGTGTGACTGCGCCTCATGTTGTTGGACAGTGTTGAAATGTTTCCTAAAGATGGGTAAGCAAAGCTATCAAATAGCAAAGCTATCATCAAGTGTTTTGGGCATGGGGGAGAAATTCCTTTTAAATACATCATGCTATGTCATTAGGTATCTTTGTTCTGAAATAAGAACCTTGATAATGAGAATCATGCTGTCATAGTTGATAGCAAGTGGAATGGACAAATCATTTAGGTTTTAATCACTGTTTGGGTAATAAGCATGGAACATAAAAGATGGATGTAGTCAGCATACTTCATTAGTGTGTTTGTGCACATGTGTATGAGAGAACACTGAGGTGTGGATAAAGCATTTTTTGTAGGCGTTAGTCCTCATTCTGGAGGAAGAGGAGGGATTTTTAAGTTGGTGGGTGGGAGTACTGCAGCAGCGGCACCCTGCGGTTCTGCCTTGTGGTGTTTGTGCCTTACAGGGGCAGCAACCCTCTGCAATCCCTGCGTTTCTCAAGCCATCACCCATGATACAAGAGAGAGCTTTAGGATTTAATTTTAAAAATAACGTGTTTTCTTACAAAGTGCTTTACAGAGCTACTCTAGTAATCCACTGAAACCTTTAAAAAGATCTGTGGAGCCTAGGATGGGCTTTGGATTAGGCCCTAGGAAATGCAAGGTGGTTTTGTTCGGAGCAAGGTCTGGCCTTGGTGGGGTTTAGACGTTCGGTGTCTCTGCAGGCCCTGCTGGCTCTTCTCTTCCTGTTGCAGAGTTCTCAGTAAATGCGTTCCAAGCTAACCAGTGGAACCAGCTTTTGTGCCTTGGGAATTGTGCATTAAGGCGGCACTGCGTCAAACGGCCAGGCGCTCCTGGGAGCGGGCATTGAGAGGTGGTTGGACTGATGGGCAATTAGTGGCGTTATTTCTGGTCAGCTTTGGGGAGCGGGAGGCTTCAGTCTGGGAGGTCAGTAGTTCGGGTGCTGGATCATCTCAAGAGGTGTGGAAGAAGAGGGCTTTACTCTCTAGGGGTAAAGGCGGCACTGACGCTCATCTGGGTGTGAGGTTAGCTGCGTTACCTCAAGTTGGTTGATCCTTCCTGCTTACTTGAACGATTACGGGCATTCTGTGTTCAAGTGGGACTTGGCTCCAACAGGAACCCAGGTGGCTGAAGGCACCTGATTGGAAAGGGGTGGGATTTCAGACACTTCCCTCCCTCAGGCTAAATACGAAGTACTGCCTGCTCTATAAATAGCTGTTCAGAATTCACTTCCTAAACGACACCACTTGCCTTGCAAGCAGCGTGAATAGGTTTCTGCATTTTACCTGGGGAGCTGGCTGTTGTGATGACGAGCTTTCAGTTCAAAACAAACTCCCAGGCTGTGCATTACAGAGGGTTACATTGACTTTCTGGCCAGAAATGATTCCGCATTTATGAAGCGTAGGTTCTTGGTACGAGCCTGTTTGTTCTTAGTTAAGGATTACTTCAGGTTGCAATGGATGCTTAGCACATTGGAGGTGTTAATGCCAATCTTCCCTCGTATTTGTAGCGTGACAATAGCTAGGTGGTGTCCTGAAGAGGTGTTTAGTTCACTGACTCCTACAAAGCCAGGCACGTTCAAGGCTCATCTGTTTTCAGAGGTACAGCTTGCTGGACCCAAACTTGACGTATGAAGGCAGTTTGCATAGCTGTGTTCAGTTTTTGTGGCCTCTGCTACGTGGAGAGCGGTGGTACGCTGCATGATGCTTGGGTTTTGGAAAATGGGACTGACCAGCAGTCCACGGGCTGTGCAGCTGCATGCTGGGTCTTGGTGGCTCCTGCAGTGAGAAACTTTTACGCCTCATTCTGGGTCTTTGTTAGAGAAATTGCATTAATCTTCAGCAGTGTCTTTGGGAGCTGCTTCCAACATGTGCCAGCAGGACAATTACAGGTAAGTGAAATTAAAATAGGGAACTGATGCAGGCAGTGATTTTCATATGGGCAAAACTGGGGGCAGTTGCTTGGAAGCATGGCCCTAAACTCCCAAAGGGTTGTCACGATGATTTGGAAGTCGCTGGAAGTGTGCCTTGTGGGTAGGCAGGGAGAGGCTTAGTCTGTGGAGCGAGGTCTTCGGAAATAACAGGGTGCAGATAGCTCTGTGGCGATACCTTTGTCTGGGGTAAAATGAGCACACAGGCAAAAGTCTCACACACAAGTGCTGGAGACCTGCAAGCCAGCTGCAGAAGGTGGAGCTTGGGGAGGCTGTGATAGTGGCTGCCACAGAATCCATCTGTATTGTTTTCCTGGTTTCCCACTGTTTCTGCAGGGTCTTGACGCTGGTTTCATTTCTTGAGCAGTAACTGTGTCTACAGCTGCACAGGTCGTCTTTGTTGCATCTGAAGAAAAAGCAAAATGTAGTGAGAATAGGCAGTTCTGAACCCTGGTTATGGAAAGATTGTGACACAGCTACAGTTGGTGTTGCTGGGTGGTTTAAAGCAAAAGGAAGGAACTTGGAAGTCCTGCCAAAATATTTTTGAGCCATTTTGTTTCCAGTCACTTATGAATCAGAGCCTGGAAAGCCACCCTTTTTATAGTAGTCTTGCAAGCACCTGTATGACTATGCAGTATCAACTGCTTTGCGCTGAAGGCACACCCGAGGACACAGATTGAGTGGGTTTTTTTCCCCATTAACAGTCATCCTTCAGCTATAGCTATAAGATACGGTAAAGTGCTCCTGTAGCAGCTGCTCAGCTGCTTCTCTGTCCCAAGGGACTGGAGAAAGCTGCTCTGGAAGTGTCAGAGGGATGGATGATTGGTGGAGAATCTCATTCAGCAGTGCATTCTGCAGCCATCCTTGCAGGCACTCAGCCAGGCTTTGGCATTATGGACCTGTTGAAGTTGGAGAAGAGTCTACCTCACATCTATACCAATACCATATATATATATATTTTAATTAAGCTTTTTTTTTTTTACTTTTCTAGCAAAAGACCCACATGCTTCCTTCCTTCAGCCCTACTACTTGACAGTTCTGTCCTTTTCCTCTGCCCCCCCTCCAAAAAGTGATACCCTTCAGTGACTCAACAGTTTATAGCAAAGCTGGAATTTGTTGCATTAAAGAATATCTGATGTACTTGTGTAGTTTTAGGGGGACGTGTGTGACATTTCTTTGCATGTGCTCGCTGCAAGTCATAGCTTTTGCAGGATGCCCATCCTAGTTTAAGCACAGGACTCTGAAAACCTCTGAGCAATGATAATATAGATAGTATATAGCTATATGAAACATTCTGATACAAGAAGTCATAATTTATAATGTCTTTGGTTGCCTATGAATTTTTGACTGTGATTTATATTTAATGCATTGGGTTTGGTAACTGAGTTAAAGGGCAACCTGATGCTGCCCCTAGAAAGCAGCAATTGATTGCTAATTATATGTAAGCATATGTGGTTTGGATTGGAAAGTGTAAGAAATACAGGAGCAAAGCTGTACTTGCCATTTGGTTTCTTTATTCTGTCATGGATCCTAAAGACCAGGACCAGCAGAAGTCCCTCTCCAAGCTGGAACAGCAAGTAGAGCAGCGGGAAGAAGTACAGGGGACCGATGATTTCTGGGGCAAAGGCGACCTTGAGGATAGTTGAGCAAAGCTGTACATTCTGGCAGCCAGTTTCCATGCACACTGTCCGCCTGCCTCTAAAGGAGGAAAAGTTAAATGGATGACAGATTTAATCCACTTTCAAACAACTTAAAAAGAACCCTGCCCACCTCACTGTTGCAATGCTCCGTGCATTTGCTGGTGCTACAAGCTGCTTTATCAGGAGCAATGCTGGGGTCCTCAGAAGGCTTCGCCTTGTGCTCCCTTTGCAATGTGCAGACAGATCACATTAGAAATGTGAACTTTGTGCTTAATGGTATTTTGGAGGCCTTGTGTCCCACTCTGGGTGCTGCAGCTTCCCACAGGGAAGGATTCTGCTTCTGAGGTGAAAAGAGGAGTCCAAGGTGTGAAGGTAAGAAATACTGAAGACTAGCAGGCTTCCTACCTGGATTAGGTAGGATGAGAAAGGGAAGGAGTGGGTTTTATATGCAAGGTTTCCATCTTGAATTCCTGGGACTGCAGCTGAATGCACTGACTGGTTTGGGGTAATTACCAGCTGAGGAACAGTTGTGGCACTGGGGTTTGGTGTCTGTTGGTATTCACTAATTTTCTGTTGTTGTTTGGTGCTATTCATTCTCTTCTTCCCCCAGCTTCATTACTGAAAGCAGAGGTTGGTAATGTATGATTAGCAGGTCACTAGTGACCTTAAATCAAAACCATCCACCTGCTTGTTCAGTGAACCTGCAAAACGGACTTCCACCCTTTCTGTGGTGATCAGGTACCTGTGTCAAAAAACACTCCAGCTGCTCCTCCCCTCTCTGCTGAGCAGAGCAGAGGTTGAACTCATTTCTCTCTGTGCTCAAGGTGTGGGAGTATTGACTTGGGACCAGCTTGCAGCGTGTCTGCTTGTACTCCCAGGGCCCATTTTGGGAGACTGTAGTCAGTGTTTATTTTACAAAAGTACATCCATGTTGAAACCCACGTTTTCACTATTGCTCCATAGACCAGAGCTGTCGTACCTCTCTGTTCCTTCTGGCGGCAGGGAGTGAGGGGAGGGGGGAGCGGAGGAACATACCGGTCACTAAGCTTGAAAATTGCGGAGAGAACATAGCCCAGCAGCAATCCAATGAAAGGCATCAAGGCAGAAGATCCCAGGAGGGATGGTGAGAAGACGACCATGATACTGCTTCCCACATTGGCCACAGACAGAACGATTATTGCAGCAGATGACAGTAGAAGCACAACCATCCCCGCCTAAAATAAAGGTGGTCAAGACATGGACAAGACAAAAATTCCCAGCAAAATTTGTTGGAAGCGGCTGCCCGGTTCCCTGTCCATCGCATATGTAAGTATATAGGGAGAGTGCGTATATGCCTTCCATGGACGTAACTGTTACAAATAGACCTTAAATAACAAT